CATGTTAGTCTGAAAATTCCTCTTCATGCTGGCTCTGATGTCAGGCTGAACTGGGTTACTTTAAAGGACAGCTAAGACTTGTTTCTGTCAGCATCTCAGCATCGGGTTGCAGATGTGAATTTGCATGGAAGACCTCTCTGGTTAACATTATTGCTGGTTTTAAAAAGAAAAAGGAAAAAGGTAAAGAAGAAGAAGTACACGTTTATGGATTCTCTTCAATGGCAACATAACTGGAAACGACTTGTGGAGGACTCTATTCATTCATATTTTTATCCAAAGCAGAACAAATGGTCAGAATGGGTCTTATTTTCTTGTTTTAGAACGATAAAGGCATTACATTTTATTTTGACAAGCATCTTGTACACTGTAAGGTTGATTTTACTGGTTTACTGTGTAAATTATTAATCAAACAAAGCTTTTCTGTTTAACCAAACGGTGGGCGTACGGATGAGAAAAGGGACTTAAATTTGTAGTTACCGTAGAGTAGCTGTAGAATAGAGTAGATGACGGGAGTAGAGGCTGGTTGGGTTTTCTAACATGTCTTGAGTAGAATAAACTCTGCCTCTGCTCGCGGGTCCTGTGTAGAAGATTAGAATATAACTGAGCGTTAGGCTCAAAGCATTTTCATGGACTAGTAGTGTTAGATTTAAAAAAAAAAAAAAAAGACAGTGGAAACAATGAGGAGTAAACTTTTATGGAGTAAATGGCAAATAGAAAAAGAAGTTGCTTTTCTGTTTTTTTACCCTGTCAACTCAAGATGACATTATCTTACACCTGCTCTGATAACCCTGCTGTGAAGCCCACTTTTAAAGTTTTTTCTTCAGACCGTCTCCATTGTCATATCTTCTATTTTTAAAAGATGGCCTTTTTTATAGCTTTTATATAGTTTAGTTTATGACCTTCTGCTGCACTGGGGGGGGTCTTAACAAATTGGCAGATGCTGTCTAGAGAAGCTGTTCAACCTTTTGGGAAATTTTCTTTCTTGCTTAATGTGAGTATCAGTCTCTTTTTTACCTACATTTTAAAGCTGCAGCCAGTTAACTTAGCAAATAGGAACTGGGGAACATATAGTCTGGCCTCACTGTGAAACCTGACATTCATATCTGCAGAAGAAGCTGAGCTACAAAAAGAAAAAAGTAAGGCAATTTCACCTGCAGGTTATGTGTACAACTATTTTTTAATTATTAAATTACCAAATTTGGTTGAGCCTAATTTTAGAATTTGCATTGTCACAAAGGGGGCTGTCTTTTTACCTGGCTTGGTTCGAGATCAGTTCTTTGGAAGGAGAGTTAAATGAGACATAAAACACCTCTGACTTAGGCTTTAGCTTTTGTCAAGTCAGCTAAAGCCTCAGTCACACATAGTAGAAATCAGCTGGCAACCTCCAGTTGCTAGGGAAAAATGTGTATAACCCCACTCAACTGGCAAGCGGTTGCTGGTGGTTGCTGGCTGTCATCAGGCAAGTGCTGCAGCAAAAATCTTGTTGTGATTTCTTTGGTGGCTAGCAGGTCGCACTTCCATGCCAGCTATGGTCATGGTCAGTTTGTATGGAAGACTCTTAGTGCTGCTTAGCAAGTAAATTGGGAATGTTGAAAACAAGTCTGCGCCTTCCATGTAAGCTACTGACGACTGCCGGTCTCTATGCCTGTGTGACGGGGGCCTAACGTAAAGAAAGCCTGCCAATGTTGAACTCGCCTCCAGTAATCCAGTAATGTAGTAATATAATTCTTTAATTTTCCACCAAACAAACTGGATATTACTCAATAATCTACAAACTTTATGTGCTGATAGGATAGGTGAATTCTGTTGTTTTTAGGTTTTCTGCCTTTATGCTAAGCTAACTAGCTGCTGGGTGTAGTTTTGCATTAAATGTACAGACCTGTGAAAGCCACAGATCATCTAATGAAAGCCAATTTCCCAAATGGCACAAGTACAACGAATGTCACTGATGCTTTAACTGGAAAATCTGAACTAATGAAAGCTTCGGATCATGTAGCTGAAACCATAAATGTTGCTCTGAATGTCAGAGTCAGAATCAGAATCGCATTTATTGGCCATGTATATGCACAGACACATACAAGGAATTTGGTTCTGGTAGATGATGGCTCTCAAGCACAGCCATGTAAATCACAACAACATGTAAAAAACACAATACACACACACACGTGCATATACATGTACACATGCATACACATGCATACACATACATACACGAACATACACAAAGCTGTGTAAACCAACCATAAATAACCAATCTAAATGTTATATACATAAAATACAGAATGAGAGAAATGAAGTGAAATAAAATGAATATCACAGAATGTACATAAGGTACAGGTAAGGTTCTGATTCTGAATGTGTTTACTATTCTAAATCAGCGGTCCCCAACATTTTTTGCACCACGGACTGATTAATGTTCGACAATATTTTCACGGACTGGCCATTAAGGTGTTGCGCAGATAAATACAACAAAATAAAATTATACGACCAAGACAAAAAGTGTGGTATGTTTTAAATATAATAATAAACACGAATTCACTGTGTAATTGTGTTTCCTCCTGAACAACATTGAGAGTAACATCCACC